TGCGCTTAGACGCAAACTGTGTTTAGACGCAAACTGCGCTTAGACGCAATCTGCGCTTAGACGCAAACTGCACTTAGATACAAACTGTGAATCAGCTTTTGCATCATAATAGTTTCTATCGAACGAACGCAGCTTTCGGTTTTAATCGCTGTAAAATTTTCGCTGCACTAATTCACCCCCCCCCTCTTAGTGCTCTCGATCCTAACAAAATGGACCATGGCAGAAAGCAAGAAAGTTATAAATACTTTTTACTCGCTGTTAGAACATGGTAATGTTGTGCGGCATGCCTGATTTTAGGGAAGTACACTGTGAACTAGTGTGACCAATATCAGTCTCCTAATTGTTTATCTAAGACAAAATCTAAAATTAGCAACTTAATTTTAGATTTTGTCTTAGATAAAATCTAATTCATGAAAGACAAAATCTAAAATTACCAATTTTTTTAGTAGAAATTTTTAATTTTTTCTAAAATTCATGAAAGACAATAAAATCTTTGCAGTCAGTCAGAATACGGACAATTCGGTCCGGTTATCATTCTCATGTTCTCTCTGGAAGAGACAAAAAGGAGAGCTGAAACATGAGATGATGACTCCTGATCTTAGCGAAACCAGAAACTCAGATTACTCATACAACAGTATGCATGGAGTGAAATGGCAGTGAGCTTGACATTGGCTTCTCTTTGTTTCCCATATTAAAAATACATTTCTATAATTCAACATACTGCAGCATTCTATCAGAAAAAAAAGATATTTAACTTGCACAACATTACTCTTACCTGCTTTATCCACTTCATTTCTGTTACCCATTCCAGTGGCTGAGTTGCTTGGAGATTTCAACTGGTTTCCATAATGCTCAATACCTTCAAGAAAATCGGAATTCAACTCGTAAGTAGAATTTGATTCTAAACTTGTTTTTATCAAGTCCTTTTGCAATTCCAATTCACGAACTTTAAGTCTTGTCTCTATGTCTAATATTATACCACCAGAGTATTCGATATCAATTTCCATAGACAACACCTGATTCAAGTCTACAGGGAAAACTCTCATTCTATGAATGTAAGGTAGAACGCTACCAAGATCTAAGCCAGTACATGATATTTCACACAGATAACTTGGTCTTCTTGTATTTGACAATGTCGTCTGTTCACATAAAAAGGAAATATCAGAATCCTATATATGAACAAAGAAAGCAAGAAGGTGATCAATCGGGATAATTTAATATGAAAATAACCTGGATGCATGCTTTTATGAGATTATTGATCTCAATACTATTTTTTGCATCAAAAAATAGCCTTGATAGCAACAGATTCCAACAAAGTGTACCTTTATCATTTACAAACTTTTCATCAGCAGCTGCATCATGAATACCAGAATGCAGATATTATGAAAACGAGTACAAGTTTGTTATAAAGAAAGGCTGTGCTAACATCTCAGAATGGCTTACTTGAAAATTTGTCTTCAGATGAACTAATTACAAATCCATCACTTGATGATGCACCAGCCGTGGAAGGTAACCTCTTGTCAATCTTCCTTTCACCACAACTTGATGATGAGATTGAACTTTGTCTACTTTCTAAAGCATTTTTCGAAGCCTTCTTAGAAAATTTTTTCAGAAAAAATTGAACTCTGGAGGATTCATCAATCCTACTTGTTCTGTTAGTAGTCTCAGTATAAAGCGTTGATGGCTTCAGAAAGGAAGGATATTCAATACTTAAGGATGACAGATAGTCTTGGAAATCTTCACCCAACTGAGAGAACCAGTTCCATTTTCCCCTATCAGGGCAGGAAGCAAGACGGAGTGCTTTGCACCAAGATTCCTTCTCCCAAGAAGTGTCAAAGTACAAGTAACATGCCTTACTCCCCTTATAAATCTTTGAGTCATTGCTCTCCAATTTAATGGGATACCTTTTAGCCCTAAGACGGGCAAGTCAGACAAAAAATATTAAGTATTGTTAAGCTTGGCAATTTATTCTAGCATCAAACATGAAACAGAAACATATAATGAATGACCTTTGTTGTGCACATCCATACACGGTATTCAGATTACATGTTGTGGCAGAAACCAACCTAGTTAGGCCATCAACACTGATAAAAATCAGTCATTTTTGGGATTACAACCCAAAACAAACTGCTATGACACCATTATACTTTCACTTGACCACATTATACTGAGTTCCATTAGTTCTAATTACCAAGCAGCAGCCCTTATGGAGATAATCCCACATCCAGGACAAAAAAGATGTAAAATATAAAGATGAGTTATGGAGGCCTGTCAGCAGATATAGTGGATATCAAACCTTATTTCAGACTGTTCTAATTTCTTCGAAATCTAATCATGTTTTCTAAAGATGTTTCCACTTTATTTCTTTTAATATTTATGAGGTATAAGGCTATTCTAGAATTTACTACTTAATAAGGGATCATTTGGTCAGTCGGCCATTGGTACAGCCCTTAGGCTCACGAAAAATTATCCGCTTTGGGCGATGGGCATACCTGCACGGTTTTGTCCTTTCAGAGCATGTGAGCTCCGAAAAGCCGCCAGAGTTTTGTCCTTTCAGAGCATGTGAACTCCAAAAGGCACCTCTAACGGCCTTTTGAAGCATGTGAGGCTATTTAGTCCCACATTGGTTGAGGAGTATGGGAACCAAGGGCTCATAAGTCCGCTAGGTCTTCCTTACCCACAGAGGTGCCTTTTGGAGCTCACATACTCCAAAGGGACAAAACCGTGCAGGTACGCCCATCACTCAAAGCGGACAATTCCTTGCGAGCTTACGGGCCGCACCAATGGCCGACCGACCAAATGATCCCTTATCAGATTGGCACTAGAAGGAGGGCCCGAGGCCTGCACCTCGGCCGAGCAAACTCGTGTTGAATCTCGTATTTTGATGATGAAACTAATTGATAATTATGTTTATGTTTAACTGCATTTTGAGTGATGCAGGTCTACTCGATCAGGATTAGACAGTTAACGCAGGAGGAATTGACATTGCGCCGGAGGAGATCACATCAAGATATTGGACGGCAGAAGGCTTCGGACGTCGGGCATCGGGCCAAGAAGAGCGAAATTACGCCAAGGATATCGGGGTTGCGAAGGTCAACCGCCGATTGGGCAACAAGCTGCAAGAGAGGACGATGCACCGAAGAATCGGACGAAGCGCCAACCAATGACGTGCCGGGCAACAGAATGTCAATTCGCGTTGTAATAATTGTCTAGATCGGAGTAGAGTTTTAGCTTGTGTGTGCAGGATTAACTACGATAACGACGAAGACATAAAGCAAAACAAAGTGTCGAAGTCAAGCACGAAGGATTCATTGCGAGTTCAAGAGTTCGACGGAAGTCCGAAGGTTCGTCGGGAATGCTACCGGAACTAGCCGAGAATGAGTAGGGAGCTTGCCGAAGGGTTTTTCGGAAGCTCGCCGGAAGGTTCGTTGGAAGTTCGCGGAGCTCGCCGAGAAAGATCGGAGCTTGCCGAAGAAGCTCATTGGAACTCGTCAAGATCAAATCGTGAAGACTAGGAGCTTGCCGGGAGTCCGCAGAATGGTTTCCGAGAGTTTATCGGAAAATCGTCGGAAGTTCGCCGGAAGCTCGCCGAAAAAAGTCTTGACTTACGGACTTTGTAATAGCTTAGAAAATGTCTTTAAATTCGTAGTTAGCACGTTAATTAAGGTTAGGATTAGGCGTTAATCCTATAACCCAAGTAGGGGCCAATTGGGCCCGAGTTCGGACTGGTTTGGGCCAAGTTTGGAGCCCAACCAGTGAGCTGAATTGGCCTAGGCGGTGGCACCGCCCAGCACCCGAGAGCTGGGCGGTGACACCTCCTGGGCTGGGCGGTTGCACCGCCCAGCACCCGAGCGCTGGGCGGTGGCACCGCCAGCATCGGGAATATAAGAGAATTCAAATTTTTGGAGCCCAAATTTGAATCCTCTTGAGGCCTATAAATACCCCTCAAGTCTCAACTGAGAACACAACTTTTTGAGCAGCAAGTGATTGAGAGAAAAGTGTCTTAGAAGAGTCTTTGCTAGTCTTATTTTCAATTTGCTAGTGTTCACCTCCTTCTTTCTTGCTGAAAATCTGTAAGAGAGTGAACCGCTTGTAAAAGTTGTAAGAGGGGTCTTTAATGCTATACTGCTTTGTCTCCGTCTTACTTATCTCTTTAAGTTAAAACGCAATCGAAACGGTTTTAAACGAAAACGTTGCTTTTATCGTACGAAGTTTACGAAAAGTGTTTAAATCGTGAAAAGTTTATCGCACTTCACCGCTGCACTAATTCACCCCCCCCCCCTCTTAGTGCCGCTCCGATCCTAACAATTGGTATCAGAGCCCGGTATTTCTCATTTCGGATTTACACCCGAGAGAAATGGCTCTTAATGGCTTTCAAGAGGGCTTATCGGTTTTTCGTTCCACCGTTCTTTAACGGATTGGACTACACTTATTGGAAAACTCGAATGAGTA